TATATATATATATATAATTTATTGGGTATTTATTATTATTTATAAAAGTGCCATTTAGCCGGTATATATAAAATATATAATACATAAAAAAAATTCTCACAACATTATAATAGCAATCACACACCACCAACAACAGTAATAATAATAACAACAGTAATTTATAAAAATTTAATAATAATAATGATGATAATAATAAGGATCAACTGGTCCTGTTGAAGACACTCATAATCTTCATCAAATCTTCATGACGCAGTTACTGTTAATTCCGTTTTGCAAGTCGGGATTGGAAAATCCCATTCGTCTGAGGAATGTATAAAAACAGCGCATCTCAGATACAAGCCAATTCCTTCTGGCCCTGGCAGCCTTCAGCATCAGCGGAAACTTGACAAGTGCTTCCCAGCAGCGCACCATGCCCTCTATATTCAGTAAGTAATTTGCAGGCTGTGGTGCGCGAGTTTCCTGCGTATCTTCCTCTTTTCATTCATTCATTCGTTCATTCTTGTTCTGTCTCCCCAAGCAGATGTGCACGTTTTCTCTGCGGTGATGCTGGCCGCTCTGCTTCTCTGCGCTTCCGGCGCTCCGATTGAAGACGGAAGTGTGGCAGGTGACTTCTCAGGTGAGGAGACGGAGGAGGCGGAGATGTCCACTGTCAAGCCTTTTAATATATGGAGGTCACTCTTTGACTCAGCTCAAGAATACGAGAAAGCGGTAAGGGCCTGCTCATTAACTATGATTAACAGGTGTCATCAAGTCCGATTGGGGTTCCCTCGGACCCCTGGGACTCTAAAATACTTCCAGCCTATTTAAGTTGTATTTTAATTCTTTTCTATTAGTTTGAGCACCATTTCCAGACTCTGGAGAATCGCGATCAAGCTTTGGACTCCCACACCCCCGCCTCTATCCCGAAGCACTGCAATATTACCAAGTTCAGAAAGGTGAGAGCTCCTTTCTCTTTTTCTAATGCTGTCACTAACAAAGGTCGGTGGAGGGGTTGGGGTTAGTTCGATAACTCGGGCTGTTCTTCTCTCCTTTGTGCAGGAGACTTGTCTCCAGACGCTGGCCAAGGGTCTGCTCATCTATTCGGTTTTACTCAAGCACGTAGAGAAGGAGTACCGCGGCAGTTTGAACTTCTCCGACGCTCCGTCAAACATCGGCACTCTGATCGACCTGGCCGGCATGGTCAAAGGAAAGGTGGGTTTGACACGCGTCTTTAACTATCCTCCGAGGAAAAGTCAAATTTGACTTTGCAGCAGTCTCTTGGGTATTTCCTGTCAGTAATGTTAGGAAGACAGATAAAGTAGATTTACTTCAGAAAAAAAAACAATCCACTACATACAGATATTAAAAGTAAAATTCACAATAAAAGGTGACTTCTCTACCTTTAGCTGTCACAAAGCCCAGTAACAACATTTCTATTGTAAATGTGAGAGGAGCAGAAGTGATAGGTAGCACAAAATCTCAATTAAATACATCACCTCTCATACTACATCATTGTTTCACCAGAATGCCTGTTGTCTTAGTACTGTCACATTATCACTCCTGCGTCCTGTTCCTAAATAACACCTCATTCTACCATCTCTTCTAACCCACAGATGAAAAACAGCAATCAAGTCACACCGCTGACCAGCAGTGAGGAGGAGCAGCTTCTCAAGGAGGTCAACAGCCCTGATCCTTACCACAGCAAGTTGAACGCCTACAGCATCCTGAGAGCCCTCAAAGCCTTCCTGAGTGAGGGGAAAAGAGCTGTTTGTAGAATGGAAAAGCAACTGAACCAATCAGCAGATACCAGTTGCTAAAAAGACGAATAATGCTCAAATTACATTCAGTTATGAAATAATAACTCAGGGAAAACTGGATGGTTTTGACACTCCTACTTTCTCAAGATCATAACCTCCTCTGGGTACAGCAGGCCCCACAGCAACATACTGTGTATGTAGAATCACCTGCTGTGCTATTCTTATTTATCTTATTTATAATTGGTAGAGATTATTTATTAGAGAAAAATCTATTGTGCAGGAGAAATGCAGTGTAAATACAATTTGCACTGTACTTGTAATTAGCATTTCTGGTGCTGATTACTATTTATTGTTAAAGAATTTTACAGTACAGTGATCTCTTATGTAACACAACTGACTTTATTTTTTTGCATATGCTGAAATAAAAAAAAAATCATTTGCATAAAAAGCAAGGACTTATTCTTTCCCCGACATTTCACACATTTCAACGCAGCAGCGCATTCTGCAAATGCATGAATCTTGACACTTAGATTTAGATCAGTCAACTCAACACATTTATATACACACATTTAAAGGTGGACGGAAAATGTTCCCGTTAATCTATGACTATGACTCATCATTACCATGTAAGATTGATACATTTGATATACCAAAACTTTATAATTGCTCAGTAAAATATTTGCTATCAGTTTCTTCTGCATGAAAGCGACTGGATTGTTTATATTAAGGAAGAAAAGAGTCGTTTCTTTGAGGATTTATTTTCAGAAATGTTAAATTACAAATAAAAACTAAGAAAAAAACAGGAAACAAACATCAGTGCTTCGCATTAACAAAAAATAACCCTCCAACTGATAGTCCAAATCAGCATGTATTTCAAGGGACAAACCTGTTCACACATCTCTGTACATGTACCATAGTTACAGACTACATGGAAATGGATAACATCCAATCAACACTTTACAGATAGTGAGAAACAATGTACAAATGTCATCTGATCATTATTATTTTTAGAGGGGAAAGCAAAAGAAGTCCATTTCGTCCAGTCACAGGTGGCTCACATGGTTTGGTTGATGGTTAGGGATTGGTCGTGTGAAGATGTTCCTCAGCCCCAGAGCAAGCTAGAAGACAACAAAGAAAATCAATATTAAAACATCCTTGGAAATATGTTACTGACATAGTGAGGAAATAATAGTGTGATGTATTAACAGCATTGCCAAAATATATATATATGTATAAAAAAAAAAAAACATGCTTACAAACGTTATCACAACTATCACTATGTAACTATGTTACATGGGCTGCTAACACACAGAAGTCCTGAAAACTTAACAATTTTGAGTTGTACAGGATGTTGTTTAGCGCAGCTCAGCAGAATGCAGTGCATTTAAAAAACAAACAAACAAACAAAAAACACATCCCCCCATGGGATGAAACAGTTAACCCCCTTTTCCATTAGTACATACTTGGATCGACTCGCCATGGATCGGCCACGACTTGACTGGTTTTCCTTTATATTCAGTACTACGCAGCGTGTGTGGTTGTCATCACAGCAACGCATCAAAGCGTCCCGCGATGTAATTAACATGCAAAACAAAGGCTATATAAAAGGTGGATGTCGAGGCAAGAATAAACCTACTGCTCGGTCCGTGGCTTTTTGTCAGACTCGGGGAACACAGTTGTTTCCATCGAGTGACGCTACTGACCAGCCAATCGGTGGTATACAGTCTGATGATGTCACATTTTAATATGTGTTTGGATCGTTGGAACCCGGGCCAAGCAGGTACTTAAAAAAAAACAGGTATTATGACCTAATGGAAAACCCTGTAAACCATGGCGAACGGTGCCGAGTCGATCCGAGTAGGTACTGATGGAAAAGGGGCTTTAAAGTCCTGGAAAACAAACAAAAAAAATTTACATCTCATGATTTTAAGATAATCCACTAAAATGCAAAATAGAGAATTTTGCTATCATACCACTTGTACATCATATTTAAATGCTTTGCAGAACGGTGCAAAAGTCTTGTGCCGACTCATTTCTTTATATTTTGCTTCCAAGCAGCCAGACTTTCTTGTAACTTTTTTAAGTGGTGTAGAGCAACAGTTCTCCAAGTTTTTTGAAAGTCTTTTAAAGTCTTCCTTGGACATAGGTTGCTTTTTTCACTTATTCTCAGTGCCATCCCTGTACCTGACCAGCATCGTCATACATGCTAAAAAAGACACTAAATGTACATGTTAATTTCTAAAATATTGAAAACAATGACCACAGCTTAACTAAAGTCATAATTTCATATTGAATTATTTGCTTGTTCTCATATTTAAACAAAATCAAATCTCTATATAAAGTAAAAACAAACACACTGATATTATTAGCAACGGGCTGTTGAGACTGGGGAGGCGGAGGAGGCGCAACAAGCAGCTCAGTTTCTGGTAAATATAGGTTACCTTTTTTCCTGTTTATCTATACTGAGATAACAGACAAGCCGTACATGATGCAATAGGTTCTTAAAAAAAAAAAAAAAATTAAAAAAACAGAAATAAAAAAGATAAGAGATTATTACAGGACTAAAAATAGCCTCACATCAGTATTCCAAGGCGGGTATTAAGACATCACACATCCTTTTCTCTTCAAGCTATCATTCAACTTTGTTAAATGGGCAGTTTTACTTAAAGAATGAACTGTTTTGACATATAATGTATTTTCATCCTTATGTACATGGTCTAAGTGTACATGAATAATCCCTACAATGACCCTACTTCATGAGACTGGACATAAATCTTGTTGGTCAGGAGCTCCCCCCCCCAAAAAAAACCCCCGATGTATTATTTGACTTTGGATCTAGGAGTAGGATGCTTTATTTTATTACACACATCTCAGACAGATTTGTCTTACCTTAAGAAAGTAGGTTCAGGCATCCCTGGATCTGCTCCTCGTTTGAAACCTGTAAGTCAAAACCATAAATAAGAATTACGAGGTGATTCTTGTAAGGCACGTTCAAATATACAAGACACCAACTAACAGTTTTGAATTTCAGTGCAGTCCTCGTGTGCAATATTTTTCCCCACACAAAACCACATTGTACCCCTTGAACATAACTTCTTTTGTACACTTTATAATGTGTAAATAACTCATGTAAAGTGCACTATTCTACTGCTCAGCTCCATACCATTTAGGTTTAATAATAATAATAATGGATTGGATTTATATAGCGCTTTTCAAGGCACCCAAAGCGCTTTACAATGCCACTATTCATTCACTCTCGCATTCACACACTGGTGGAGGCAGCTACAGTTGTAGCCACAGCTGCCCTGGGGCAGACTGACAGAAGCAAGGCTGCCATATCGCGCCATCGGCCCCTCTGGCCAACACCAGTAGGCGGTAGGGTAAAGTGTCTTGCCCAAGGACACAACGACCAGGACAGAGAGCCCGGCGATCGAACCGGCGACCTTCCGGTTACAGATACGCTTTATTTTCACTTGAATGTTAAAGCTCAAATGAGTGGGGCTCGATTAGTGCTGAAGCGCTGGTGCACACATGACAGAGGAAAAAAGAATATACCGAAACTTTAAAGATGAGAAAAGAAATACGATGATGGCAAGATCTAAACATAAATCCCCCTTATTGAAAGCATTTTTTGGGGGTGGGGGTGGTCCCTCAAATTTGGAGATATGAATTTGAGCACCGGTTTTACTCATATTGTGGTTTATAACTAGTTTCGAGCCACAGTGAGTAAAAATACTGTCCTGTTGAGAACTAATGAAGCAAATCATTTGCTACTTCAGTGATTACAGTGCGTCAGCAGAATGCAAACAGACCCAGCAAAACATCTTGCTTTCATTAAACTAGCTTAGATCAGATCATTCCACAAGCAGCAGAAGACTACAAATTCATATCCCCTGATATCAATACTTCTGCCTTCATTTAAAGTCAAGGAAGTAGTTGAGCCTGACACAAGACATTCTCCAAAAAAAAAGATAAGAGGATCCCAGAAGGTGAAAAATAGCCTCCTGTTACCACTCTCCTAATATCAAGGGTAAAACCTGATTTCTTTGGCTGTTTTGTTTAGACCCGTCAGGTGATCACTGTGTCTAAGTTTAATTACATACAGGTGTATCAGAATCTATCGTGGGGCGATCGTGGCTCAAGAGTTGGGAGTTCGCCTTGTAATCGGAAAGTTGCCGGTTCGAGCCCCGGCTTGGACAGTTTCGGTCGTTGTGTCCTTGGGCAAGACACTTCACCTGTTGCCCGGTGGTGTTCAGAGGGCCCGGTGGCGCCAGTGTCCAGCAGCCTCGCCTCTGTCAGTGCGCCCCAAGGTGGCTGTGGCTACAACGTAGCTTGCCATCACCAGTGTGTGAATGGGTGGATGACTGGATGTGTAAAGCGCTTTTGGGTCCTTAGGGACTAGTAAAGCGCTATACAAATACAGGCCATTTATCCAGTGCGAAGTCAGAGTGATTGTTTCCATGTGATAACAGAACACGTAGGTGTCCGGTGAAATCGTCACCAACTTTACAGCTCCTGTATGCTTCGACCCCTTCAGCACCCTCGCCTTAACCAATGTTTCTGATCCAGAGTGTCCTGATTTGAGCTAAGTGCAGGAAGGTATTCATTCATGTGTGAAACCGGGATGGGCCACGTAGCCTTCAAATTACATCACGATATTTCAAGAAAGTTTTCCGTAACAAGATTTCTGAAATGTAGAAATTTTTTTTTTTATTTGCTCCACTTGCAGCTTGCAGGCAGCAGCAATCACAAGTGGAAGTAAATGATAGACATTTCCCACTGAGCTGTCATTGATGACACACTTCCTAATCTGAAGTGTGAATTTATTAAAAGAAGGTGCCGATAGCATCCGCAGCAGTATTATGGTGCAACACCAGTGACACAGCCTAAGTTAAATGTAAGCACAAAAGCAGCCCGTGATGCTGATCCCCTACAACCCATCCAGAATTCGGGCTCCCACAGAATGTCTTCTGTATGCCACACAGCCAATCAATTACAGACGCTCCTGGCATCAAGAGGCCACATCTAAAGGTCAGTCTAAGGTTTGCCAGTGAACATCTAAATTATTCAGAGAAGGTTTAGGAGAAAGTGGTGTGGTCGTCAACTCGACCTGCTGTGTTTGGAGGAAGAAAAATGTTGAGTATGAAGCAAAGAACACCATCCCCACAGTCAGGCACAGAGGTGGAAACATTATGCTTGGGGATGTTTTTCTGCCAAGGACAACTTCACTTCATTGATGGTCCTATGAACAAGGCCATGTACTGTA